GGCCCCGCCGTCTCCGTCTCCAGCCTGCTGCCAGCAGCCCCGATCCACGCCTGCCTCCTCAGGCGCGGCAGGCATCACCCCCTCCCTTCGCCCGCAGCCCCTCTGGGCCACGGCTTCTCTCCGGAGCCCCACGCCGTGCTGGGGCCCCGCCGCCACCGTGTGTCCCAGCCGTTAGCCCCGGCAGCCCCTTGATCTGCTCTCTGTCCCCCACTTTCGTGCCTGGGGAGGCCCCTTGAGTTGGTCCAAGCACTTTTCTCTCATGTTCACCCATGACTTTTCCTCCCATGCAAGCAGCTGCTTACAAACTTCTGACGTCTTTCCCAAGACCACTTTCCTGGCCACCAGAAGGCATAACTTCCTCCAGTGCTTTCCATGATACCCAGGGAATCAACCCCCTTCTCCCACCACCAGTATCCTCCACATTTTCTTTCTTTCCTCAGACACTGCTGTCAGTGCATTGTATCTGATCCTTCCTCTAACTCCAGCAAATTTACAGCCTTAGCTGCACATACGGCAGGAGCTAGAGCAGTGAAATGAGTGCCCCAGTGGCATGGGCTGCATGACTTGAGCAAGTCCCTTCACCCACATGAGTCCTCATTCCTTCAATGGTGTAACAAATATTACTGACCTCCTTTATGAATTGAAATATGCTGATGAAAGAGATGGAACCCAAGTGCTAGGTAGGCAGCATGCATACTCTTTTCCTGTTCCTCCATGTCCTAGACTTCTCCATTCTTCTCATTAAGGTGGTGACAGAGTAAACATCTAAAATCCTGAACATGCACTAGATGTGCCTCCAGGAGCTGCCATTACCCTTCATGCAGATGCAAACGCAGTGCTGGAAAAAGGTTGGGGCAGGAGCTTCTTCTGGCCTTCATTTCTTCTTCTTTCTTCCCCAGCTCAGTTTTATTTATTTCTGATCTTGTGTTAAGGATAAGAGTTTTCTTTCTTCTTGCACTTTGAGCTTGGAAGAGCATCTTCTCCCACCCTAGATTCTAGTTTCCCTACTCAGCTGTACGTAGGGCTGGGGAGAAGGGCTGAGACCCAGGAAGTACTTCCTGGAGCAGCGAGGGATCCCAGCCTTCTGCCCAAACCCTGCTCTCCAGTGAATCTCTCACACTATGCAGAGCTCACCTTGGTCAGGAAGTGGGATAAGGTCCTGACCATCCCCCTGTCGGAATTCCAGCTTTGCTTTGGGGAACACCATCACCTTACCACACACTCAAGCCAAAATCCCAGTAACCTATTTGCTGGGATGGACCTTAGACTGCTATCCTGCGCCATCCCACTCTCTGCTTTCTCTGGGGACATTGCTCACTCTTTCAAAGCTGCATACCCTGTGTCCCCTCCACTGCTTTGGTTACTGAGGAGCAGGAAGCACTCCCCCTCAGAGCCTTTCACAAGAACAGTCCTTCCCAAATGTGGTTTGTGTGGGCACCATGGGTGGTAACCACCAGCGCCAATACCTAGAAGAGCCTGTAACAAAAGCCACAGACCCCATGACCTGCAGTAGCTCAAGCACATTTGTCCGAGTGAAGGTGTGCCCTCATCCTCTCATCCCATATTCCCATAAAGGACACCTTACTGCTTAGCACAAAGCAGGATTCCAACCCTGTATCTTCACCTGCCCAATGCCAGTCAAGTCCCCAGGTCAGGGTCTAGTTCATGGCCCAGAGCATGGCTAGGCAAAGCAGCAAAACAGCTGTAAAACAGCATAAGTGGG